ATATATATATAAACTTATAAACTCTGTTTCTTAGAGTCATAAATGCCTATACCAGACACTTCAAATAATGCCATTTTAAAATGAAATTTGTTCAAGTGTATATGAACTCAATGATGATTAAGCTACCTATTTTTGATTTACACATAGTGTACTACTTTTGAATCTTTCTTCTTAGCAAGAATTAAATCTAAAACCCCTCAATAATATCTTTCAATAGCTGATCATGAGCAAAAACAAGATGTAAAGTTAACTATGGCAGACTATTGTAAACGAGTAAAACCAACATTTTGCTCAGTATTAGTAAAACAAACATTTTTCTATCATTTTTCAACAAAAACAAGTTATTCAGCTGAACAGTGGAGAAAAATGAACCTCTTTTCTTCTTCTAATAATTCAAAACCATCAAATGACATAACACATGCATGCATTTATACAAGCACTTCATGAATGAAACAAACAAATATTTCAACCCCATAAAAGCAAATATAACTACAGCTTCATTAAGAATAAGAAACCATCATGTGAAACTACTATTTGACTTTGAAATTCTCATGGAAGAACACATTGGAAAAGGTGGGTATTCTTACTTACCAGATGGAGTCTGAATAGCGCAAAAGAAGTGGAGATCCCTACGAAGAAAAAAAATTTGGCGATTAGCTTTTATTTACTATAGTGTACATGACCAAGTTAAAAGCTAATTTGGTGCAGCAGAAGGTTAAGCTAATTTGGTCCTATAAATTCCCCCTTTTCTCTTCTATTTTTCAGCTCTCGTTCGAATTCTTAGTCCCGTTTTAAACCGTAGAGCTAATTTTACCATGGGTGGCATTCGAATAAGATCAAATCAAAGACAAATTCTAAAATAAAGCAGCTAAGACCAAGTTTACGCTCTCGTGGAATTCCATTTGATAAAGCAACAAAAAAAATAGCTTTGAGATAGAAATAATAATTACCTGGTGTTGAGGTTGAAGATGAATTAAGAGTAGAGTTTCGACAGAGTTAAAATTTTCCAAGGCAGCGACGGTATAGGTGATGACGAGCAGCAGCAGGAAAGGACCCTTCAAGCAAAGACGAGCATAAGCAGTTGAGTACCGGGCAGCGACGGTGTAGGTGGTGACGGATTCGAATGGCAACGGGGAGCATTTGTTTTCGATGAAATTAGGTTTAGAATGAGATTTCAAAGGGGGAAATGCTCGCGCGCGATTTAAGTAACAATTGCGGCGTTTGTAATCCAAACGCTACAGTTATACTCTATTGCGACGCTTTTTAATAAACGCAGCTAATGTCCATATATATTGCGGCGTTTGTGTCTAGAAACGCCGTAACAATTCAAATATATTGCGGGTTTGGTAAAAAACGCCACTATATAGTACACCTATTGCGGCGATTGTTATAAACGCCATTAATATCTAATTTTTTGCGGCATTTTTATTTAAAAACACCACTAAAATACAAATATATTGCGGCGTTTGTTATAAAAACGCCACTATATATTACACCTATTGCAGCGTTTGTAAAAAAACGCCGCTATTGTTCTACTCATTAGCGGCATTTTTAGATATAAACGCCGCAAAAGGTGTAATATATAACGGCGTTTTTGATACAAACGCCGCTAAATACCTTTATTTATATAAGATTAACATATTTTAAATATTTATTTCTTCTATACATAACCTAAAGTTACAACCATACATTTTAATTAAGACATAAGTACTTATGCATAAAACTACTTAACAACAAAATACATTATAATTTAGAAACATTAAAGTACTTATGCATAAACAGTCTTCACCATATTGTTTAGTACAATTTAGTCTTCATTGCTCCTTCATGGGGAAATGATGTAGGAAAGCTGTTTTCCTTATTTGACGACGCATCATTAAGTTTTTCCTCCGTGTAAACTCTATATGGAGAAACTTTTCATCCATTTCACCAAATAAATCTCCTACCTCCGGTTCACCAAGAAGACTCATTGCGCGCTTCAGTGCTTCACTTGAAACAGATAACGACCCTCCACCTACAGTATAAAACTTGATTGGAGGTGGCTTGGGAATTGAATCAATATTAAAATAAATTTAAATAGATGATATAAACGTTTACTTGGAGTAACAGTAGAGGCAGCATCGTCTTCATTGAGGATCGATACTGCTTTTGCAATTGAAGATTCTTTCAACGCCATAGAGTTACCAAATTCGGTTCTAGACATAGGGTATTTATCCATTTCTCTATCATCATTCTCAATAAGCTTCGAAGATCCTACATGCGTACGATCTATGAAATTTGAGTGAGCGCACAAAAAGGGAAATATAGCGGCATAAAGATTCATAGAATATTACCTTCAAGTAGGAGATCGGCCATGGAAGGGTATGGAGCAATATGAGTTCCTTTCGAGTCATCATCGAGTTTCGACGGCGAAACTAGACCGATAGCCTTCCAACGATAATTTGATCCATCTTCAGAGCAAAGTCGCCACGTAGACATTCTGACGATAATTTCTCTTACTCAAGGCAAGACCTGCTCTTTTTTTTCTCAAATATGTTAGCTTTCTGGGTTTTCCCTATTTTCAGAATACCAACCAAAACAAAAATGCAAAAGATCATTAGTGATAAGAGGGATCAAACTGTGGAATTGTGTTATAGTTCATCGGTGAGAGGGCCGATTTGGTCACTGGGATAGACAAAAGACGACGTCGCTTGGAATTGTGTGAGGGTAGGTTTTGTATCAGAGAAGAAACTGTGAGGGAAGAAGAGTTGAAATGATTTTAGGGTTTGGGTGGGAGAAAAGGGAGGACAATATATTTAACATTTTGCGGCTTTTTTAAAAAACGCCACTATATCACATGTTTTTTGCGGCGTTTATACAAAAAACGCCACTTAAACAACCATATTGTGACGTTTTATATATAAACGCGCTAATTTACCACTCTATTGTGGCGTTTGTGGTATAGACACCGCTACATTAACACTCTATTACGGCGTTTTTACTATAAACGCCGCTATTGATTAACCTTTCTGTGGCGTTTGTCTAAAAATGACGCAAAAACTATTCTTAATTACGGCGTTTGTTGAAAAAACGCCACTATATACCATCCTATGGCGGCGATTTTAACAAAAACACCGCTATATTTATACTCTATTGCAGCTTTTTCACAAAAAACGCCGCTAAAGTCTCAATTTGTGGCGTTTAGATTAAAAACGCTGCTATATGTAATACTTTTATGGCGTTTTATCAACAAACGCCGCTAAAAATACCGCAACAATTTTAATGTAGTGACGTAAAGATTCTAGATTTTCGTCTTCTTAATCTTAATAAAAATAATCTGTTTATTAGCATGCAATAATGTGCGGTGTGAATGTGTAGAAAACCTGCAACCATGCATGATTAGGTAACCACTTTCAAACTTTCACAAATGAATAATTTTTGTATACATAAACTTAAACATTTGACAGTGATTTTTGATTTGAAATTCTTATAATAAATATTTATATATTCCGCGACTAATTATTTAACAGCAAATGTAAATGGCTTCCATAATCAAATACGTGCAGTTGGTTAGTTTCTATTAAGGTGACGCAAATATTGTGTGAATGCGTGTTTTATTATTCTTTTAATCTTTGAAATGTCTTCTCTTTGAAAATATAAATTGCGACACACCATTACTAAACATTCTCGATATCTTGACTAAAACATAGATTAATCAATAATTCTTAGTACATTCAATTAATCACAATTAGATACCTCAATAAATAAGCCACTGCGCACATACACTGCGGTAGACGACTAAAATAAGCACCAGACTAAACGGAAATTTAAGTTAATGAGAAAATTGTTGATTTTTCTTACCAATTAAGGAGAGAAAAATGAATCGTAAATAGAAATATTGAATGCATGGAGTTAATGTGAAGAAGTGAGCATATCATTGAAATATTGCGACAAGAGAAGTCTAGGTATACACATTTGTAATACACCAACTTAAGCTTTAGCACCATTAATTAACCTTTTTAGCATTCAGCAGCATTGCTTAATTTCTATCATAAATATTCAGACCCACTAAGAAAACTTCAGTTTAACACTGATGTTGTCTAGATTATAATCATATTTATTTCCATTCTTAATATTAGTGACCGGCCTGAATTAAGATATAAGTTACCGCATAAAGTTATGGTTAATGAAATCTTTGCGCACTAAGTTGATTTGACATAAAAACTAAGGGTTCATAAATATATCCCATGTGTCTATTTCATTCCACTTTTGCAAATACAGCACTCTCTTTAGCCATCGCCTTTTAAAAGAAGACTACCTTAAAAAACCTTTTAAAAGAAGATAAAAAGAAACCATTACTTTATTATTTTATTAGTTATCCAAATAAATTCAAAAGACAAAAATGGTCCAATACATACACCATTACCGATGGTACTTTTTATTAGATCTTGATTTTAGATAATTTATTGATAGTTATACTATTCGAAAATCTTAATATATAATTAAAAAATGTTATATCAGAAGTAATAATATTTTTTAATATTTTTGGTAAAATATTATCTAAATATTATTTTTTTACCGAAAATATTAATTTCACTAACTAATTTCTTGTAGAACCCAATATTAATGTTTTAGGTAGCTCTTTATCTAAAATGTTAAATATTTTAAGTAACACCTAATATTAACATTTCCATTAGAAAAATAATATTCTAAATAACGATTTACCAAAAATGTTAAAAAATATTAATATTTCTAGTAATACCTTTAGTTATATATTAGATTTTAAATCTTAAATTTCTTTATAATAATTAGTTTTATTTTTTGTAACATTGACATGTTTTAATAATAATTAACATAATTATAGATATGAAACGAGATAATAAAATAAAGTGGGTAATTGTACCTGGCAAGTACTCCAACTTGTACCCTCTTCTCTCTCATAATCATCGTATCATATCATTTCATCACTATTATTTCTTTAATTCTCCCTTTTCTCTGCTTTATATAATGCGTCCATCACTCTCCTTCCTCCCTACTCTCTCCAACTTCTCCTTTCTTTACTCTTCTTCTTCAACCTCGATATCGTATAATAATAGCTTCACCGTCACACTCCAAGGTATCTTTTTCTTTTTCATAAAACGCCAAATGAAACAATTCATCCGTCGTCTCTCCCGCGTTGCCGATACTTCCTCCCAGTACAGACTCCTCCGTTCCGACACCTCCACGCCCACGCGTCGAACCGAATCATTCCATGTCGCCGTCTCCTCCTCGAAGAAGCCTGGACGCCTATCCGTTCCCGAAGGTCACGTGCCGGTTTACGTGGGAGAAGAGATGGAGCGGTTCGCCGTGAGCGCGGAGTTGCTGAACCATCCGGTTTTCGTAGGATTGCTAAACAAGTCGGCTCAGGAGTATGGATATGAGCAGAAAGGGGTGCTTCATATTCCCTGTCACGTGCTGGTTTTCGAACGGGTCATGGAAGCGTTGAGACTTGGGGTCGAGTCACATGACCTTGAGGATCTCCTCCGGTCTTTCCCGGGCGACTTTTTTTTCGACTTCTAGGAGGAGGAAAACGGTAACACGCTGTCGTTTTTAGTCCTGCAAATATAGAAGCTTAAAGGAAAAAGGAAAGAAATAGGGTTTCCCCCCTTTCTGTTTTGGCTAGTCCTTTGATGTAAGCTGTAAAGAGTGGACAGAAATGGAGGAATTGTTGTTCTAATTTTAGTGATGTTTATACAAGTTACTCGATTGTATTTTGATATTCATGACATCATTTCAAAATTAAATAATAAAATTGATATGAACCCTAAACTTTAATTGGAAAAGTTTAAAAAATAAATATTAATTATGAAAGTTGTAATCTTAAAAGACGTCAGATACCAGAATGAACTAACAAATTCAAATCTTTTACAATCTCAAAATCCTTGTCAATCTCATTTCTAAAATTCGTATTTTGAAATTAAAAATCCTACGCTAAACTGTGATTAAGTGAAATGAAATCCAAAAAATAATAATGAGGAAATCGAGAAGAGTAAAATAAGCGAATAATCCAGCAGTTAATATGCCAACATACGAAATGATTAATAAACAAAACAAAGGTTTCATTCCAACTTACGCTCAGTAGATTATGTTATGATCAATGTGAAATCAGATTAAATTCTGTTACATGCTTAATGATTAATTAAAACAATTGATTATTCAGGGGAAGTTGAAAAAATATATATATAAAGAGTTATAGTCTTAATTTAAATTCTCAAGGAATAATTTTTAATTATTATAGAGACAAATATTAATTTTAAAAACAACTTTGATTTTTTTAACATAATTGATACTCGATCAATTTAGAATTATAATAAAATTTTGAGTAAAGTATATAAATAGTCCCCAAACTTTTAGGGCACTTGCATTTGGGTCACTCAACTTTTAAAACTTGCAATACAGTCATCGAACTTGTAGTTCGTTTTCAATAAAGTCTTTATCGTCACCTCCCGTTAATTTTGCTAACGTGACACTTAACTGCTGTTTCTGGTCACCCTACGTCCGGTTAGCGGTGGCTCACACCACTATCACCATCGTCACCAGCATCGTCTCCCGACCACACCTCGACCCTCGATTCATACTCACCGTCCATCGTTCGTCCCAAATCATGAGAAGACTCATCCCTCTTTATTGTTTTTAACCAATGAAGAACGAAGGAGGGGATAACAGTGAGGAAGAACGATTGACTGGGTTTTGGTCGAAACAGTGTGACTTCAACGGTGGTGGTTGTGTGGCGAACGAACGATCCAATCGGCCGAAAATTGATGAAAATAGAAGGGGGCGTTGGGGTTTTTCGACGAGATTCGAGGTCATCTCCACGACGAACGGAGATGAGTCTCGGGAAGTGGTTAGTAGGGTTTTGGTCAGAATAGGGTAGCACTCCTACTAGTACCGACGGTGATGGTCACTGGTGATTAACGATGGAGATCGATGATGGGTGTTCAAATGGTCTTCTCGCGATTCGGGATGAATAGTGGAGGGTAAGTATGAATCAAGGGTTGAGGTGTGGTCGGGAGGCGATGCCGGTGACGATGGTGATGGCGGTGTGAGCCACCGTTGATTGGAGGTAGGGTGACTGGAGGTTGGGTGAACGAGAATGAGAGAAAAAGAAGAAGAAGATGTGGAAGAAGAAGAATATGGGGGAGGGTTAACGACAATTAAGTGTCATGTCAGTAAAAACTAACAGAGGTAACGCCATGAACTTTAGTAAATGAATTAAAAGTTCAATGATTGTATTGCAAGTTTTAAAAGTTGGGTGACCCAAATGTAAGCACGCTAAAAGTTCAGGAACTATTTATATACTTTACCCTAAAAGTTTTTACTCTTTATGACTATTCAATCTGACAAGGAGTAGTGAGAGAATCCTCCTTTTTCACGATAGGTTTTTGTACGTTGGATTAAGTCCCCACAATTGCAATATGGATAACCTTTCATCACAATATCTCCTTTTTCTTTTCTTTTCCCCACAAAATAAGTGGGAGGGGACATTAATTATTAAACAAAATCATCAACACATAATTAATTGGGATTAATGGTGTCTAGGTGTGAGGCATTTTACAAATCTATGTCACTTATATCAATAGATTTATGATTTGATCTATAATCAGACAAAAACTTTGGCAATTATCTTTGCGGCTAATATAGATAATTAGTGTCACCCACTATAGAATTAAACCCAACAGACGAAAAGTTAATCTTTGAAATTGCTACACTTAAGTAGTGGATTTAGTAAAATTGTTGTAATTAAACTTAACTATGCCTCTTGTAGTTGACTAAATGGGTCCAACATTCCATTTGACTTTGTAAATATGTAGAAATGATTTTTTTCTTTAAAAATTGAGATTTTAAAAATCACACATTTTTTTTAATTATTCTCTTTATGATTAATTTTTTAATTAAAAGTAATGTGATTTTAAAAAACCTCTCGTTTTGAAAATTTTGAGATTTCCTTACAATAGAAAAATACGGTTCGAGGAGTCGCCACCAATATTTGATTAGGATGTTATTGGGCACCCAAAAATGTTTTTTTCATTTTAAATAAACATTAATTTTAATTAAAGTAACAAATTGAGGTCTGTGTTACCAAAAAATGAGTTCGAGAGTCGGTTACGTGTGGGGAATGATTAGCACCCCACAACGCCATAAATCGGTACCTAGTCGATTAATTAATGTCTTTGCAATGAAATTTACAAATTTGAATTTAATTTGATTTATGATCCCACAAAACAACAATTTATGTGAATTTTACAATGAAATACAATAATATTAAATTATTTCATATCGAGAAGAAACAAATCCCTCATAACTTGAGGTAATTAATTCTTACTTCAATCGAAATAAAAAAAATATTAAAATTCCATTATAATATTCATATGCACATGTCGCAACCGTCTTTCGGTTGGGCCCAGAATTGGGCTTCGACTTGAAAATTGGGTTAGAGTCGTCACCGATCATTTTAAAATTATTTAGGTGGATCAGACGCCATCTTACCCGATCTGCATTCTACCAGAAATGTGTCGGGTTCAGGAGTCGGTTACAGTCAAGGAAGGATTAACACCCTTGTACTGCCCTTTCGGTACCAATTAATATGACGGTTGTCTTAATTGCGAAAATTAAAATTAAAATTTAAAACATTCGATTCGAATTACTTACCTTTGATTGATTGAAAATATCCCTAAAAAATAAAAAAAAATGTTAGATAAGAAATTATAAATAAATATTAAATAAATGAAAGGAAGGAAAAATAATAATAATAATAAAATAAAATAAAAAGAAAATAAAGAAAATAAAAAATATTAAATCAATCAAAAGGGAAAGAAAAAATAATAATATAAAATAAAAAATAATAAAAATAAAAATGTTAGATTTTAAAGGTAATAAAATAAAAACAAAAAACAAATAAATAAAAAACACACTAAAATTAAAAGAAAAAATAAATAATTAAAATAAAAAATGATAAATTAAAAAGGAAAAAAATGAATAACTAAATACTTAAAGGACTAAATTGAAATAAACTAAAATTAATAGATTAAATTGGTACTAAAAATGAATTGCAAAAGAAATAATAAAAAGTTAGGGGGCCAAATCATAATGAGAAATGACTTTGGGCAAACAAATGAAATTTCTCTAGACTTGGAAGGACTAAAACAATAATTTGGCCCTAAGGATTCCAAGACCATGTGTTACACCCTTGGAAACCTGCAATTATGCTCAAAATTCTTGATGATGAATCCACCACTGCCATTGATATCATTCACAATATTGAATCTAGTACAACCGATCACACCGCAGCAATTTGGTAACCCAGTGAGTTGTTGGAATTCTAAGGATACTGAGTTAAGCTCCTCGGGACTCTGGAAACACAACCCAAAATTGGAAATTAGTGCAAAGGACGCGGTAGAGATGCTTCGCGCATAAACGAGTTACGGACTCGGATACCCCAAATCATCGAGCGATCTCGTTGTAACTCGAACCGGTAGCTAACCGGATCAAATCAATCTCCAAACGTAATTCGACAGAGAGATTCAACGGGGAACCAACTGGGTCCTGGCACTCCAACAGCCCGACGAGCCACTCGAAGGTGGATGATTTCATCCTGAAGAACGATTTAAACGAGTTGGGGTCGGCGATTTCATCGGCGACGGACTCAGAATCGTATTCCGAGCAATGTGTCCTCTTCCGTTTTCGAGAAATCGATACTAATGAAAGCGAGACGACGATTTATTGCGAGGAGAACAAATGGTGGACGATGGCAAAGGTGTTGAATATTGACCTTGTACCGAAAGTGCATGGAACCAAATCAATTAAAAAAAATGGGGCACCAAAATTTTGGAAAAAATTCAGCTTAATATTGTTGAATTTTTTAAATGGTAAAAATATAACTTTTAGTCATTGTACTTTAGGGTATTTATAATATTAGTCTTTAAGCTTCAGCTATAAATACCCTAGCTCATTTAGCTTCAAAATCATCCCAAATCATTTTAGCTTTCTCCCAATACTAGAGAATTTAGAGAGTTTTCTTGAGAGTTGTTTTCTCCTTTTTATCAAGAGAGAATTGTCATTGTTTTCTCTTTGGTAGATCGAGAGAAGTTGTAATTCCTATTTTTTCATAAAGAAATTCTTCTACCGTTGCCTGTGGTTTTTACCCTATATTATTTAGGGGTTTTCCACGTAAAATTTGTGTCATCTTTATCTCTATTTTTTATTTTCTCAAATTATCATTTGCGATTTTGCTCTTTCCGATAGCATTCTTCCACAACAATTGATATCAAAGCCAGATTTGAGTGTGTAATATCTGCTTATTGTCTTTGTAGTTGCCACCAAAAGGTGGATCCTCCAACATAAGAAAGTAAGAAGGATTACTCATTCTTTGAAGGTTTCAGAGAATTATTCACGATAGTGAAATAGTGGGAGCTATCCGTAATAGAAGCTATGACAACGAAATTTGATATTGAAAAGTTCAATGGGAGAAATTTCTCATTGTGGAAATTGAAGATGAATGCCATCCTGTGGAAAGACGGTTGTCTAGTAGCTATCAGTGAAAGGCCGGTAGATTTCACAGATGACAACAAATGGATCAAAATGGACAGGAATGTTATGAAAAACTTTCATCTAACATTAGCATATGAAGTATTGTCAAACATCGAGGAGAAGAAGACAACTAAGGAGATATGAGATCATCTCACCAAATTGTACGAGGCCACATCGTTGCACAATAAAA